TCTCATCTGGAAAAGTTGGGTTCCAGATTCAAGGATTTTTGTGCTTAATGGTTAAGCCTTTGAGCTTTCAAGCCTTATGGAAGGGTTTTTGAGCATTTGGAGTAGCCTCAAAGGATAAAGTTGGAAACTTTATCCTTTTAGACACATTTGGAGTTTAGATCTGAGCTTTAGAGTCTCTAGAATCGAAGAATCAGTTGTATGTGTTAAGTTTGGGAAAATCGGCGAGTTGTCCAACCAACTCAATGAGTTGGTTAGGGTTTTCCTCGACTTTATGAGTTTTGTAGATCTCGATGAATCCAAGAGGTGCATTCAACGAGTTGGGTCAACATAGACTGTTGACCCTGACCGTTGACTTTGACTTTGACCATGGTTGACCAAGTTGGACTTTTGGGGGCATTTTGGGTATTTTGGGATTTTGACGGGTTTTGGTCATCATGGTTATAAGCATTGATTCAGGAGCTGAGATTTGGAGTCAGACCTTATCAGTTCTACACTACTAGTGAGGTGAGTTATCCTTAAGGATGCCAAAAACCCCTGTGGGACCCCGCTCCCGTGGGACCCTGATACTGTACGAGACTAAATTAAAAAAAAAAACGAGAGCGGGCGGGGGCGGGGGCAGACTTAAACCCCATTTATTTTTGGGACCGAGGTTGGGAGTTGGTATTTCTGTCCCATACTCCCGCGGGGGTTCCGGTTGTACATTTATGTAATATATATATAATATATATATATAATATATATATATATATATATATATATATATATATATATAATATAATATAATATAATATAAAATACATATACAAAGAATATTTTCTAATTTTTGGTTTAGTGTAGCTTTCACTTTCCCATTTCCAATTAGTGGATGTTAAAGATGTAGCGAATTGACCATATATTTTTGGATATGTAAGTATTTTGTATTTGTAATGTTGGATTTGTCGTGTTTTATATTTGTAGGATTGTTGGAATTGTCGTTTTGTAATGTTGGATTCATAATGTTGGATTTTTAATTTTTTAGTTTCTAAAAGATTAGGTTTTAAGCTTTTAAAGTTATCAAAAATAGTTTTTTTTAACCTAAAACAATGCAGTTTTTTAGAAAAAAAAAATCGAATTTTAAGCCTATTGTGACTGAGAGTCATTTCAATCTATTTGAAAGTTTAGTACATGTGTAACAGCTTTAAACATAGCTTTATTTCAAATACTCCACAGATTAGGAATATGTATGCAGTTCTCACAAGTACTTTAGAATGTTCCTATAAGTCACACAATGACGTGTTCTCGGATTATACTGGTGTCAATCGACATGCTCTAACCATACAACTTATTTGACTTTTATGCATAATCACGACAAATATGATTAATCCAATTGCAGTAGCATATGTAATACAATCATATTGTTTAGTTCAAATAATTTGATCTAGGATTTTGCTCAAAATCATGTCATGTGGTATGTGACAAGGTAAACTCTCTTAGAGTCATTTATCTTAAGCTCTTTAAGATCCTTGACAATTAATGCAATTTTAGTTAATCCTTTAAGTTGCCATGATCTATCTGTATAGATCTTTATTCCAGGTACTAGTATGTCGACTACATATAAGATTAGGAATGTTACTACACTCTCAAAAGCTTCATAGATACACAAGAGTGATCTTGATTTATAATCAACTCACACTATGTAATTATGTTATAAGAAAGAAGATTCTTACTTTGAGATGTTAGCTTAAATCTGAGAAGATTTTTATTCATGTATGTTTTATCCTATGAAAACTCACTTATTCTTTATAGTAAAAAATGTCAATGAAGATTAATCAAGGCCATACTTGATAATCATACACTGATTCATCTCTATATGGTTTATTAGTTTCTGATCAACTATTGAGCATATTCAACAATAGTTGAAAAATTACTAGTTCCAAACTATGATGCATTTATCATATGGATCTTTAGCTCTAAAAGTTCCAAATTGCTCCTACTCAGAAAAAGAACTTTCTATGCACTTGTGTTATGGAATGAAAATTAGTGGGATTAATGGAGTCTTCATCTTAAAAAATCATTATGGATAGTCTACATAAATGCAATTAGTAGATGCAAGAGTGGTTAAGCTCATTTTCTAGCGTAAGCTCCATAACTCCTTACCTTTTCGCTAAGGACAAACCATTACATCCTTATTCTAATGAAAGTATTTAATCCACTTGTTTTGTTAGAAAATTCAATATATATTTGTTGCAGTGAGCATAATTCCAAACTTTTATAAACTAAATAGTGCTTTTAAAAACATCATACAATAGATTGAAGGATCTTATTTTTATCCTCTTCAAAACTTGTATTATCGACATTCAGCTAGTGGTCAAGTGACCCTATCCCACTAGAGAATACAAAGGTTACCTCGAATATCAAAAGATAGATCCAAGTAACCAGGAAATCTTGTGCCACAAGAAATATACTAATGACGAGTGAGTGTTTTGACAGAATGAGTGGTGAATCAATTCCACAACTCCTAAGATGTTCCAGTAAGAGTTGGTTTACAAAACTCATTTTCTTTATCACGAGGTAAGGTTAATGATAATTTCATTAAGTTAAATCTCAATCTTTACTATCAAATAGTTTGAGCAAATCAAAGGTTTCAACAATAGCGAATAAAAGTTGTCAGTGAATTTGATTAAACATCTATCACCAAATATATTCATGGATTGAAAGATTACATACATAACTTATGTAAAATTCTTTGTCAAGCCTTTTTTATTTAATTACTAATAGATAAAGACAATTGTGAATCATCTTCTCAAATAAATAGGATTCACATATATCAAATGAATCAAAGTCATTTACCTTAAAAAATTCCATTCTTTTGAAGTTGGTATATGTGTTTCATATTTATATAGTCATGATGATAATGACATAGATAAGTTTTAGTCAAATATCATTTGATTATATATGTGTTATGATCAGAACTATCAATTTAATGAAAGCTAATAGATTTACTTCATAATTAACATTATAAGAAAATATTCTTTAACACATAATACATCGTTTCAGATCATGAATGTGAACATTCATTAAACGATAAGTAAATTTATATTTATTCATAAATTAAAACTATTACATATCCCTATAAGAATAGGTACAAAAGATCTATTATTTAAATAAAGAATAACATCACTTGTTATATCTTCATTATGAAATACCATTCGTTTGTTATCAGTTGATTATTTTTTTCCAATCATCAACACATAATATAAATTATTTATGTCACCTGAAGTATAAACCACTCAAGTGAATAATGGAAAGATAAATACTTCTATCATATAGATATTTGAAGTCTTGTCCAAGTCAGACTTCTTCAGCTCGATAACATAAGAGGACCAATTCCTCCTTAAGTGTCCAATTTCTTATACAATAGAAAAAACATTAATCATTTGGTCCTTTCTTGATTTATGGGTTTATGATGTATTTCCCTTAACTGAACTATAAGTCTATTTGAGTACACAGTCTCTTAGACTTCCTTTATTCAATGGTTAAACAAACTTAAAGCACTTTCTAGTGTTCTAATTGAATATATGATTTATTCGATGATACATCTAATATGTTTCATTATTATCCAAGACTTTCTACAAGTTAAGGTTAATTACCCCAGTATGATATGAGACACATCACCATCATCACAATAATATTTCCATCTAAGTATCATGATTAGATAGACTGGCTTGTAGAGGTTATTCATGTATGAGATCTTTTAGTATATATAATTTATATTTCTCCTTAAGGTGGAACCTGAAGATATTATACCAGTTATAAAAATTATAACCATCAAATGTTACTATCTCTTGAAACTCAACATGAGAGAGGTTTTTGCAGGGGTAAGAGTATAAAAGTTATTAACAGAAATTAACAAAAGTTTCATTTTATATTTTCAATATTTAAAGTCTAGGATCCAAGTAACAAAACAAGTAAATGGTTAGGTGACATTTATCTCATTAACTTAATCAAACTCGGTAGGTAGTGATTACCAATTGCATACAATATGTAACTCTTAGATTATGGGATCCTAAAAAACTATTGTTTAACTTGGCATGTTTATCCCATTTATACCTAGGAACTCTCATGCTTAGGTGGCCTTTATCACACAAAATTCCGATCAATTCATCAGACTTGAAACAACTTGTAGTATTGTAACTTTCCAGTGACAAAGTGACCCTTTAGAAGCCAGAAACTACAAAAACTACCCCGAACATCATAAGACAATCCTAATGACCAGGTGACCTTGTAACACTAAGCCCATACAAATGATAACGAGTGTTCTTCAAAAGGACGACAATGACTTGCATTTTTAGAAAAGGTTTTATATTTGTTTTACAATTATAGTTTATAAAAACATGGTCTCATGAATATTGGATGCATCCAACAACTCATGTACCCTTTTTTAAAATTCATATCACTTCCTATGAGGTTATTTAGGTGCTAAATAAAACTTCATTTTATTTGTCATTAGTCAATGATCAATTGTAAACTAAAATATGGTATTTTTAAAGTTTAGTCATAGATCGGTTTTAAGAATCGGTAATAGTCTTAATAAAATTCCAGTTTATACTTATGACTTGGAGTTTTGGATTAGTTATACAATCCCTATTTATATTTCCTTTTAACAATAAAAAACTTATAACTTCATGAATTTATAGAATAAACTCATTTTATTTTATAAACTCAATTTTATGCATCTTATGATAAAAGTCATATTTTGATAAACCAAAACTTGGGTGATGATACTTATGTTTTAGATATCATTTGGCATGTATAAAATATAATATCGTTGCATTATGTTTAAAACATCAATATAATACATTAAGTTTTGACGCAAAAAATAATCACTAGTTTTATTATTTACC